TGAAAGAGCTCTTAGTTCCCTAAACATGGATTTTGTTTGTAATCGTGGATCCCTTCTACTTAATAAGTTAGACCTTTCGAATTGTTTGATGTTTTGGAATAATTGACAGTTTCGTCGTATTCGTCGAAGAAACGAAGAAAATTTTGAAAAAAGGTGTTTTCTACTTAACAACTTACACGTACGTTAAAATTAACCCCGAAGTTAGATGGTTTACAGACTTCTAACGTCGGAAAATAAACATTTATTCTAGTAATATATTAATGGAAGTTTTACTTATAATTTAATTTTTACTAATATAGATTGTGATAAGCATTACAAATTGTATTTAATTATTATTATTATTAACACTGCGTAATTTATAAGTTGCTTAAACGTGTGGCAAGCAATTACTTGAGATTTATAACGTCTGATGTGTACCACAAATTCTTAATATTGCTGCATCAGTGAATTTTTTATACGACGCCTGCACATCGAATACATATGGATAATACATAATAGATAAAAAAGAGCAAAATAGTTGTTGTCTTTACGTCTGTTTTTCCTATAATAACTTTATACAAAGAAATGATGTGTTTATTCTACTATAATAATTCTTTATATAAGATTACTATAGGAAAGGTAGAAAGGCTAATACTTTGCTCGGATACAAACTAAGAATAGAAAGACGTTTATATACAATGCCTTCCTAAAAATTTATGCTTTGGATAAGTTTAGCAATACTCGCTTTCGTTGTCTTAAAAGTAACACGTTGCTTCGTCCCGCGTTCAAAAGCAAATTCAAGCTATACGGTTACTTTTATTATTAGCGCATTTAACGAATTTATAAGAATTTGTGTACGCGCTTCGTATATACGAGTTTTACAAAATTATAATCTACAAAATTATATAAATGTACATGTATAGACGCATATATACATATATTTTTTTACAGAGTGTTTATCTTGAATTTTGTGAATCGTACATTTTATTTAACGTCTTGAATTTTCATTAAATTGAATTGATGTTCTAACGATAGCATCCATGTACGTTCCTACCCAGTACTTCGCACATCGTTAAATGCGCTTTAAGCGCAATAGAAGTTCCGTGACAAAGTCAACGTGATTCGCGAAATGGACTTGTAGATTTTCGCTACAAAGGATCGGTATATTTCAGATGTGTTCATTAAATTATAGACGATAACGCGCAAACTTTCGATGTTCGATGAGAATACGTTCTTACGACAGAAGTAAAATAATAAAATATTAAACGTCAGGGATGAAAGTAAGTAACGTTTATTTTCAGGATACGAGCTCTTTTATTACGTCGCTCGTAGAAGCGTAGTAGTATTCTCACGTACAATATTATTCTAGCAATATTCTAAGTGTAAATAGTTTAAGATTGTCGCTCGATTTAATGCGATTTAACTGTTCTAAAAATTTTTAAATGGTTTTCTAATCCCAATCAAAAGTCATTGTTCTCATTCCCTTGTTGGTAAGAACGCATTGGCCCTTTACGTGTACGATGCATTTATTGTCTATGAAAGATATAAAAGTAAATGTATTTTTGAAGATCTTGCCGGCCAAGGTGCGAACGAATTAATCGTCTATCAAACGCAACGTTCTCTTTCGCTTTACTAACACATTTAAAATTTCGTCCTTACAACTCGACTTTTTACGATTCTTAGAATTTATCAAATCTTTTATAGTTCGCATCGTTCGAAAAAGAAAAGACTTGTAAAAAAAGACTTGCATAAAGCAGCCGAAAGATTTTTTCATCGTGTTCGTATTATTGCTGAATAAAATGTTGGATTCATTTATTTCAACCTTGTATATGTGTGTATCTCTCATCCTTTTTCTTGTGTATTTTCCTGTTATATTTTTATTTTTATTAATTTATTACATTCCAACATTTTGTTCAAAATGTTTTCAAATGTTGAAAATATGAATGACATTATCGTTTATATTCAGAGCAAAGTTAAAATTCATTTTAGCATCACATTAAATATTTTCGTCACAAAATATTTTCAACATTCTAGAAACGCGCTTTCACACACACGAATTTGAATCACATATCATTAATTCTTACTTGATATAATAAGTCTATTTTTTCTTTCTGCACTAGAATTTTCTTGCTTCTGCTAAATATCAAACATGTCGATTTTACTTTAAGTACCAAAAGTGTATATTAGAGACAGTTTACCATTTGGATCGAAAGTTACTTCAATAAGAAGTAATATTTTTTAAATTTGTGCACTAATAGAAATATATGGAAATATATTATAAAATAATGATAAAAAAAATCTAAATTTTTTTTATGTAAGTACTATTTCAACTATAGAAAACAGATCTAAGATTTTAGTAGGTTTTTTTTACAGAAGCAAATCAAAAGAATAATGTCAATTTCGCCCATGATTTCGCCTATCTTCAACTCTCATTCTTCTGTTCGTTAATTCAATATTCAATCTATTCAAGAAAGTTTGTCAAAATTTTGAGTCTATTTTCAGTATGATTCCTCATCCTGGAATTAATATATCTCCCTGCCAAATTATACGTTTCATCTCGATCTTTGCGGAGGTTTCTTCGTGAAATAATCGCATTTCTCGCCAAATATCAATCGTAAGTTTCTTTTAACATCTCGTGTGAAAGCCGATCTACAATAGGTGTTATAACTTTAACCTTTTGCTTTAAATTTTTAAATTATTAAATATTCTTAAAGTATATTTACATAAAAAAAATTGAGATTTTTATCATTATTTTATAATACATTTCCATGTATTTCTATTATCAGAGTATAAATTTAAAAAATATTACTTCTTATTGAAGTTCAGATGGTAAACTGTCTCTAATTTTTTTGTATTATTTTTAAATAAAATTTAGAATAATTCATAATTTTGTTAAGTAACTCTTAACATGTTGCATTTGCCTTACAACCTCTTTAAACCTTATGCATGTATATGCACAGTAACCCTGGATACAATACTGTTTTGCCAGAGCTGTCAGAGCTGTCCAAGGTCGGTGTTTTTTGGCTTGAAATTGAAATGTGTCGATATTCACACCTATTACTGTTCCTACTCTTTACTTCATTGCTGTTTTGTCGTAGCGCGCGATGTTTGGTCTCAAGGACGATACTAGTTTGAAATCATTAAAAGTTTTTAATCTGTGTCTTTCACTACTCAGACAGCACAGAATATTTATGACAAATATTTATTATTATTCATTTTATGAAATGATATATAAATATTTTATACATATTTTTTCTATAAAGCTTTATTCGAAATATTATTAAAAGATAGACTAAATATTTAATGTAATATTTATGATAAATATAAATAAACATTTCTGTTAAGTATTTTTTATTTGAATCATAATGTCTTGTTAAATATTTCCCTAGCATTTACTACAAGGTTTACAATAAATATTTCACAATGTTTATAATAAATGTTTATGATCTATACAATCTAAGACCACAAAAATATTTACAAAATATTTAAAATAAGCCTTATAAATATTTATAAATATTTTGTAAATATTTTATAAATATTGTGTGCTGTCTGGGTATGTTTAAAAGTATTCTGTTATTCATATTTTTATAGTTAAAGATATTATGAATAATAGTATCTTATAATATTAGTAATAGAATACTTTTGAACATAGTGAAAGACACAGGTCAAAAACTTTTGATGATTTCACTAGTTGAGATCTAGTATCGCGCGCTACGATAAAACAGCAATGAAGTAAGGAGTAAGAAATAGATGTGAATACCGACACATTTCAATTTCAACCCAAAAAACACCGATTTTGGACAGCTCTGTTTAAGCTTTAAGTTATAACCCCGAATCTACAATAGGTGTTTTAAGCCTTAAGTCGTAAGAAATTGGCAAATTACCTCGGATCTACAATAGGGTTTTAAACCTTAAGCTATAAGAAATGGACGAATCATAGTCGATTATTCTCCTCGAATTCGACTGTAATTAGTCAATTTCTTACGACTTAAGTTTTAAAACATCTATTGTAGATCTGGACTAAGTCATAAATTAAAAGTTAGAAGCTAGAAATTGACGACTGTGTTTGGTCAATTTCCAGCTTCAATAACTTCTGATTTATGACTAATGGCTTATTGTAGAATGCGTGTTACCCCGGATCTACAATAGAATTTTAAGCCTTAAGCCATAAGAAATGGGCGAATCACAGTCGATTATTCCCCTCGGATTCGACTGTAATTAGTCAATTTCTTACGACTTAAGGGTTGAAACATTTATTGTAGATCCGGACTTACAGTCAAATTCGAGGAGAATAATCGACTATGATTCGTCCATTTCTTATAGCTTAAGGCTTATCCTGAATCTACAATAGGTATTTTAGGCCTAGTCTACAACCAGTTAGGAGACGTTGTCGTATGTCGTGCGAAATTGGCTCGTAAGAAATTGGCTAATCACAGTTGAATATGAAAAAAACAATCGACCGTGATTGGTTAATTTCTTACGGCACGACATACGACAACGTCTCCCGACTAATTGTAGACTAGGCCTTAAACCTTAAGTCACAAGAAATTGACCAATTACAATCGAATTCGAGGAGAATAAGCGACTGTGATTCGTTCATTTCTTATGGCTTAAAGCTTAGAACTCTATTGTAGATCCGGGGTTAGAACTCTATTATATCCATCAATTATTCTCCTCGCATTCGACTGTGATTGGTCAATTTTTTACGACTTAAGGCTTAAAACACCTAAGGTTTGTTCGCGTCGCATGCTCCAACATGTTCGAATATGCTCCTACTATAGCTCTTACTCTATCAAACGCGTTGGAGTGAGTAAGAGCTATGGTACGAGCATATTGGAATATGTTGGAGTATGCGACGCGAATAAACTTCTATTGTTGATCCGGAGGTAAGAAACAAGGACTAGGACGATGGGACATCCTTTGAGGCGCGCCGCGCTCGGCGCGCTTCGCGGCCGGCTTCGCGTCCGACTTCATATTTGCGCGGCAACGCGCGCCGTCGCGACGATCAGTCTGCAGCCGTCTGCCGCGCGGTATAGATCGTTAGTTATTGTCTCGCGTACGGAGCGTGCAACGAGTGCGTGGCACCCACCTTCGTGCGTCCGTCCGTCCATCTATTCATTCGCGGCGCCGTGGTTTGTGTCGTTCGCTCGACACTCTCATCCTCGTGTGTCTTCCCGCATTCTCGTTGCCGCTCCGGTTTTTCCCGAACAATCCTTCGTCGAGCGAACGCGCGCGCGCTCCTTTTTACCGTCACCATTTATGAATCGCGGGCGAATCGATAGCGCGAGCGATAATCGTTTTTGTGCGCGCGGCGAGTCTGTGTTTCGTGAGAAGTGATCGACCTCCCGGTCGCGGTTTCCCTTCGGGAACGAGAACGCATTCGTCGACGCCATAGCGTGAGTTTGACGTTTTCAAGGTACGTATAATATGTTATGTATATCGTGAACATGTAGCAGTTTCGCAAAGAGAGAATGAGAATAAGAGAGGGAAAGGGGTAGAGATGGACATGATCGACGCGTGCACGCGCGCGAGTTCAAATTCCACGTAACAGTCATAAGTGTCAGTCTGAAGATTGAACCGTAATGACGTCCGTGAGGGAGCGAAGCGCGGTCGGCGCGAAAGGTGCAAGCGATACGAACGTGGCCGCAAATCGCGCGGAGAGGGGACAAGTTCACTCCGTTCGTTCACGCGACGCGACAATGACGACAATGACGACACGTGCTTCTTTTCTTTCTAGCTGCAGATTTTCCGGCGTCCATCGCGAAGAATCGACACGCACGGTTGCGAAATTTTTGATCGAATCAAGGTACAGACTTAAACTTCGATTAATCGATATACATATAAATTGCTTTCCATTTAAAAAATTCAGGTAATTCTTAATTATTTGTGACATCATAACTCATTGTCAGTTGAATGCACGTTCCTTTTCATTCTGACAAGTGAGATTCAAATGAATTTTTTATTACCTATAGTTTGTAGCTCGTCTCTCTCTCTCTCTCTCTCTCTCTCTCTCTCTCTCTCTCTCTCTCTTTACTGATGAAAATAAAAATCAGAGCGTAAGTCGAATGTAATGGGAGAGTAACAGAAGCGTAAACGAAACTTCTAAGAGTCGAAATTGAAATGGAATTTTACATTCAAAATGTAAAAAAAGCGTAAATGCTTTTTTTACATTTCATTGTTCCAATTTTTCCCTTCTAGAAATTTCGTTTACGCTTCTGTTACTCTCTCATTTGCGCTCTTCAATTTACGCTCCGATTTTTATTTTCATCAAGGTTGTTTACGTGCTTTCTAAATTTTTTGGAGTGAATCTCACGTCAAACGAGTGAAATCTCACTCCAAAGAGTGAAAATATTGTCACTCTTATTTAGTAAGAGTAGCAGTATTTTCACTCTTTTGGAGGTTTCACTCCAGAATTTAAAGAGTAACTTTAAACTCAATATACTTGTGTGAAAATAGAAAATAATCATATAGTTAACTTAATTGACACTTGTACTATTTTGCGATAGAATTATTAACTTTTGCGGTATTTAACGCATTAAGAAGAACATTAATTCATGGCTAACAAGTTACGTTTTAGTTAGAAATGTGATGAAATCTGCTTTCAGTTATTCTGCAGTTGAATCAACCGCCGATTAGATTAGTCGGAGTTGCCTACAATGGCGTCTCTCGCTTTGGAGTTTCTAGAGTTGTTAGTAATTTAAATCACACTTTCTCGTGCTCCTTACTTCACTTGTTCGAGATGTAACGAATTATATCCGAAAAAATTGAAAAATGAAGGAAAGAAGAAGGAAAAAACGCAGAAATGAAGCGAAATCTTGTTTGTTAAGAATTACGAAACGTTATTAATTTATCATTTCTGAAAATTAATTCATTTAAATGAATTTACAATAGTTCAACATCTTAACGTTCTGACCGTTATGGCGCTTCTTAATTTAAAATTATTATGTTTAACATTAGCGGTCTTTCAATCTTATTATTGTTATTAATTTAGCTCGCGTCGATCAATTTCCGCCCAATCGATAGAACATCGACAACCGAGGCATACTTTCTACCGCATTACGATATTATAATATATATTTTTGCGTGTCCCTGATGTCACGCTGCCACGAAGGAACCCGAGCTAGTCAGCGAGAGCTCCGCGTGCGCTTCCAGTTCGACGTTGTTGAACGCCGGAGTAAACAATAGTCGATTGTAGAAAAACACGTATATAGTCTACGTTTTATAAGTAAATGTCTATGTAAATCCGACGAGTAAAAAAGCCTAATATACAAAATTCTAGTGTATTGCAAGATTTTTTAATTATTTTTTTATTAACCCACTTTTTATTATTTATTCATGAAAAGGACGATTTTGCTGAAGTATTTAAAAATTTAGCTACATATAGATTTGAAAATAATTTTATTGAACCATCAAAATAGTTACGTAGAAATCTCATCATGATATGAGTAAAAAGTTTTGACATTCTAGCAACTAATTTGAGCATCTTACATAATTATTTTGATGGTTCAAAAAAATTATTTTCAGATCTGTACCTAGCTTAATTTTTACATTCTTCAGTGAATTCTTATTTCTGTATTTATTTATCGCACAGCAGTTTTTTTAAATAATTGGCTGCAGAATAAAGAATTTCTACAGGCTTTGAATGAAATATCTCTATGAATATTGTATGTATCAATTTTAATGAATGAATAAATAATAAGGATATATTGTACTTTATATCTTAAAGTTTAAAGGTAAATTCTTGCCGAAAGGCGCAAAATGACGGAGGAAAAAACAAATTGAATAAGTAATCATGTTGAGAATACTTATAAATTTTCTTTTGTTCGCTTGTGCACAAATTTGTTTGCGAATTGCAGTGTTAATCTTATCGAAAGCGAAATTTTATGATTTTCAGAATAGAGAACAAAAAGTTTTTAATAATCTCGTCGTAATCGAGCTATCCAACGGAATTAACGGAAGTTCTATAAATAGCAATATCTCGAGATTAAACGTCAAGCAGCTTCTCAATAACCCGTTCTGTCAATTTAAAACTAGTGACACGCACAACTCGTAGTACATCCCAGGGAATCTGAAATCTAATCACACTCTTTAATTAAATCTTTTAAAGTGAATTGTAAGAGTAAAAATTGAGCCACTCTTTTTCAAGTCTGGCTAAATTTTTATTCTTTAGAGTGAGATTTCACTCCAAAGAATTTAGAGAGACACCAAAATCCGAATGTGCGATAGAGTTGTACTTCGTTACAAAGTTTTCTCGTCTTTTAGATATTTTCTTTCCGCGAAATTGTTACGCTACGTTCATTAAACTGATCTATAAAGATCGTTGCTCCCGAATTGAAGATAAAATGACATTTCCCGACGAGACACTGACTCATTGCGTATTCACTGACAACACGGATTGCTCTTCCCACTCGTGAATTTGCAAATCACGTGAGTGTCGTAAACGTCAGGCCGAAGGTCGAGAGCATATCAAGTGTTGCAGTTCCAACTTATCGTGCCCGGAATGTGTAGATTATTATGTGACGCATTCGACTTATCGACACTTATATCAAGAGAAGACTACCGGCATGATTTTTTTTCACGTGAAACTTTAATAACGTCGACGATAACGAAATACTCTTGTTTATTTCTTTTAATATGGATTCATTTGCCCTTTCTCGTAATTAGATACAATATAAATCAAATCAATTAGATAAACGTGCGACTCGATGTTTGCGATCTAAAGATTAGAACTTTTTATGAATATCACGCTGACGATCGTCCATTTCTATTCATTTTTTGCATGCTGCATGTTTTAATTTTAATCAGACATTAACAGCAACATTTTTTGCTAACTTCTTATTTTTATGTAAATATCTTCATCTCTTGTGTATGCTATATGATTATCTTATTATTATTTGCTCAAATAGATGATGTTTTCATTAGTTCTTATTGATGCTAAAGTCGTTATTAAAACGTCGTCTTGCTACTTGGGTTAATTATGTATGTATATAACAAATTATTATGATTAATTATTATTATTATTCTCTTTTGCAGTGATGCTGGTTGTTTGGCAAGGAGCTCGCCGTTGCCTGAGTTGCAGCGGGCAGCGCACTAATCAGGGTCGCCAATTCCATCAAAAGTCGCATCATCATCGCGAGCCGATCAGCGAAAAGCTCGACCGGTATCATCTCGTTAGAGCCAGGTAAATGATCCGCTTATTATCGAGCTTTGTTTTCTTATCATTATTTTTCGTTATGTAGTCAGTGTTATCTATTATTCTCTTCGCAGAAAGATTTTCTGATAAGGAAAAATTCTTGATCTTATCGTAACTTTATAAAAATAACACGATATTAAGAATAGATCAATTCTCCTTCCTTGAATCGTATAAGATTGACTTATTATCTTGAGACAAGAATAAAAACGTTGAGAACCTAAATTTAAATTTATATATAAATCTTTATCCAATGTTATAATGCATGATGCTGGTGCCATAATATTTAACACGAAACTGATATTCAAGATAATTTTAATTCAGATTTAAAAACCTTTTTTTTTTTAAGAATAAAATATTCCATTGTTAACAATAAATATGATGTCTATCGGTTTTATTTTATGATGAATCGAAGAGTAATATTGTATCCAAAAATATTTTCTATGGTGCAACTACTCAATGAAAAAAAAATTGCATAATAAATCCTCGAGTGATCTAAACAATCCTATAAACGTATAGATTATTCCAATATTACATGATAGAATAATTGAAGTAGTTCTACCGTTATATATATATATATATTACACAGTGCATGAGGATTTTTAATAAAATGAAAAATTTTAATTTGTTTTAATTTTATTTTATTATAAATGGTTTTAATTTTTCTATAAAAATAAAAATTGCTAATTTATGGCACGTTTATCCGCGTCTTAGGCTCATATTGATCTCAAATTGAAATTATAAAAGTTTTATTTCCTAAAAAATTTATTAATGCACAAAATAATATATGCAAACATACATACTATATGTTTTATTGAAGAGTAATTAAAGTGGGACAATAAAAAATATAATTGTATTATTAGTATAAAATTTTATATTGAATGCTTACATTTATTGGTTTAGACACCCGAAAGATTATTTGCAATAAAGTCGAGACGGATATAACGGTTCATTATCCTACCGTCTGCAATCGAATCGCGTAATTGATTGAGCTAATCACGCTCGGCTGAGTTTTATACATGCACCAATGTGCGTGTATGCGTGTAAACTCGTGCATATGTGTATGCTGATGTACGCGCCTTGTCGCCGGACTCGAATGAGACGAAGTAATTCTTCGATGACCCGACCGTTTAATCGCAGGATATTTGCGAGAGGAAAATTTTCCAACGACTCGATCCGAACGGTAATTCAAAACACACTCACGGCGTATTTCATCCATTTCTCAGAAATCATCTTGCGAGGTTCTATCCCACCGCGCCGAGATACCTGAGTCACCGGCCATATCCGTCAAAATAAAAATACCGGCGAATAATCGGAAAAATTGTACTTGAGAGAGCGCTAAGATTTACTTGCGGGAAATATAAAGATCGTAGAAAAGAATATTAATCGTCTAAAAATCCATTGCTTAATCACCGTTGTCAATAATTTTTAATTTATGTATAGTGTAATCTTTTAGGCATCACTGGATCCTTGAGAAAGTAATATTATAGCTAACATTTTTTCAGAATTTTTTTAAAATTTTATGGAATTGTTTGTAGTTAAATATTACTCTTTTTTTCTCGTAAAAATGTTATACTAGCGAGTGAATAATTGGAAAATTTATACTTGAAAGAGCGTTATAAGATTCACTTGTGGGAAATTTGTAAAAAAAGAAAACAATCATCGAAAAAAATCCCTTTTTAATTAATTCCCGTCGTCAATAATTTTCGAAGTGTAACGCAATCTTTTATGAATCGCTGAATTCGTGAGGAAGTTATATTATAGTTATTATTTTTTCATAATTCTTTTGTAATTTTACGTAATTGCTGTATAGTTGATATAAACGCCACTCTTCTTTCTCGTAAAAAAATGCCAAGAATGCATGCAGATCCGTCGTGTCGCATTTAACCTGTCATAGTCAATATGTGTTTTTACAGTCGACGGCCTTATGATAAAGACGTGCAACACAACGTATCAGACACGTGCGTGAACGGGGCATTCACGTCGCAGCCACGTGTCGCGTGACATGCTATGTGGGCAGATTCTACTTCGGATGCGTGTATTTCCTTTAAAAAACATATCGTGTGAACAATTTCCACCTGATTCGATTGCTCGAGCTTCCCATAATCAAGGCACGTAGCGCAGTACGTGTCTCGTGCGGTGTCTCGATCTCTATTATTAGCTTACTGTCGCGTCTATAAATTACATAATATTCCATAACGATGTTAGCATCATTGTGGAATATTATGTTTAAGTTTATTTCGTGACTGATATTTCAAACAATCAAAGAACCGGGAAGGGTTAAGTAAAAATAAAAATGGAAACAGTATTTATAGCTGATATTGCCCATTTCATCATTCGTTTATCATCACCATTATACACAAATGAGCCGGTATCTGGCGTCACGTTTGATTGACGCTTCTGCGATAATATCGTGTCATAATTAATAAATTTGATCATAAAATACGAAGATCAAAATTCGGGAGATCGGACGGTGCATTCGCATAAACCCCGATGCGTCTAGAACACACTGAAAGAAAAGATTGGCTGAATATGGCATAGCATTTTTAATTGATCGCAACAGCCAATTTTTGGTTGCGTTAGTCTATCGAAATCCTATATTGACATTGCGGATAGGCTAACGTAACAAAATATTGGCTGCTGCAGCCAATTAAAAATGCTATGCCATATTTTATCATCTAATTTGCTGCAGCAGCCAATCTTTTCTTTCAGTGCACGCGCATTAATTGCAATAGTTTATCACCAATGAAACCTCGAACTCGACTAACCTATTTCTTCTCTCAGGCAAGTCACGAGTGCATAACTGTTAATGTACATAACACAACACGTGTACATAATACAGCAACGTTAATAAGGCATGTTTCGTGACGGATCTACGTTGGAGGCAACTTCGATTGTCGAAGTGAGAAATATTTGCGGTCACATGACAATTACCGACGAGTACGCCGGCGATTATAAAGCACTTATAAGGCGATTGACGTTCCCAGTGAGTTAGTTCACGATCGAACGTCGACGCGCCGACATCTCTTTGTAACTCACGCGTGTCGCATTGTCATAATATCGTGCGCTATCTTCGAATTAAATTTCACACGTCTACGAGTTTCTTTGCATTTCTTCGCCATCTCGCCGACATATCTTCGTTATCGTATACCAAAACCGTAGCCGATTCTCAGGAAATCGCACTTGTCACGCTCGAGACAAAGAGAGAAATATCAAACGAAAAATAATTCAAGGTAGAAGTGAATTAAATCTTTATGTTGAATAAAAAAAAAGTACGTTAGAGAATCACGCTTTATCCCGAGTAACTTGCAGAACTATTGTTATACTGGTGTGTCGTACGTTAGGGGGCAGAAAATCTGCGAGAGAACGAAGAAGTTTAACTTCTTTCGGTGCGCGAAGTTTCAAGGACTGAGTGTTTTTGTAACGAAAGTTGAGTGCGTGGACTTTACATTGTACAATTTTAAACTAGTCAAATTGAGTTATTGTGAAGGAAGTTCATTTTCGCTGCAGCTGCACATCTTTGCACCTGTTTGCGTGTGTGCGTCAAGGTTGGGGACAAAACGGAAAGAAATCCAAGATTACGGTACGTACAAGGTTTTCTCAAGTAGTCCATCGATTGATTGATAGGTAGCGATTTATTTATCGGGAGTCTCTGGGCGACTTAATTATCGTATTTCGCGGTATATATTTCCGCTACGGATACCCGAATACTTTTGCTACACTTTTTAATTCTTAATTAGTACACTTATCGTTTTTTAATTCTGTTGAATAAATCTGGATCCCTTAAAGATACGATCTCGTGGCCATTATTAGCAAGCAGATATTTTTAAAACATTCCTTGCACAAAAATACAATCAGAATGCAGTTTCACGCGATCAATCGCAAAAGTTACTGCTGCTATCTTTAATCGACTTTTGTTTCGTTCGAACGAAAATTGAAATTCACGTACCTTCAACATAATTGATTTAAAATAATTACGTACAAAACGCAAAAATCGTAGATAAAATATAGTAAAAAATGAGCGATATTATTGCTTTAAAATATGAAGATGAAAACTCCTCTTTTTTAATAATTTATATTAAAAAAAACTAGAATCTTGTGAAATATGAGATGAATATGAAATCATGTATATTTGTATTTACTTTCGTATTTACTGCAATAATATTTATATGAATCTGGAATTTATAATGATGATTGCAGTAGAGAACACATAGCGTATCTCTATGGTTAGCCGCATAATGTGAAGGTTTCTTGTTAATAGAGCTATCATATTTGAATCATAAGAAGAGAGTACATATGTATACTTTAAAAGAAAAAGATGATTCAGGAGCGGAGGAGGGGATATAATTTTTTATATATTAATATAATTTTATAAATATAAAATTTTATAAAATATGTTTTGCTCACGACTTACAGCGTTAACTCCATATTAAACCACTTACTAATCCTTTAATTTATATACACACAATTACAAGTTCATTTATATAGTATATTTCTTAAAAAATTTTAATATATAATGATCAGAAGTTTTACGATCTTAAAATAGTACACAGCTGATAACATTATCGGGAAGCTAATTTAAATAAGTAGGTACTATAAGCATCGTGTCTATTTATTTAATAATGCAAATCGACGAGTTGGCTAATAACTTCGGTCGCGACTCGAACCGCACAATGCTCTTTAATGAGATATTTGAGTCCATGTGATTTTTTGCTGATATAAGGAGACTGTCACCAAACGCGTAAATAATACGAAGATCTTGAATTTGGCACAAAAAGGTAGCCGAAGGTTGAAAGTCCCCCCTGATGTATATTTATTCAGATGCAAAAGTGAATGAACATGTGCTCAATAATTTTCGCGTTTCTTCGTCAAACTTCGTTCGGCTTCGCGATAATCACATACTTGACAGCAGTCGACTACGATACTCACATACACCTTGATACATAAAAACCAGTTCATTCCGGGTCGTCGTTCAGTATAGATCATGAACGATACCAGAGTGCGTGAGGTTTTGCTCATCGAGGACAGAATTAGAGCCAGGAAATTTCCTTTGTCCTCTTGTCGATCTTCGCTACGAGATGCTTGTCGATTTCATTTTTTTCTGTTTCCTGAAATAGCGTACATCTTGAAATAAGATCACTGTCTTTTTGTTATCAGTACGTTGAACTCACAATAATTTTTTTTTATTCTTTTTTATTCTTTTATCTTGATTAATTGCGAAAAATTTTGTATAAGTATATCATGATCTTGCTTTCTTCTTCTTTCATCATTGATTTTTTCTTTTGAAGTATAATATCCTTTTTCTTCTTCCAACAATGAAGATTTTACGGAGGGATTTTCCTATCAGTTTACGCTTTTACGAGTTTTACGCCTTCAGTCTCTCTTTGAGATGATGCCTACTTATTAATCCTTCACTGTCAACTAGGATCTTTAAAGACACCATTGATATTTTGATTTTGAATTTAGTAGATAAATTTAAATTTATAAAAAATAAGTGAAGTTATATAATTCGATTCTATTATGATAAAAATTCATTGTTAAAGCTTTGACAAGTATATCAAAATTGTTTCACTTAAATTAAATAAGCGTTTGTAAATAGAGTTTAAAAATTCATCGAGACTGATCACTGATTCTACATTTATAAAAGTCCAAGACATCAAAGACATGACCTCGTATCCTCATTAGATTTCAAAAGAGTACAGACACTTTTATTTGGTACCAAACTCGAATGCAATTAACGCCTTTTTCTGCAGAGCGTTGTGACGAATATATCTATCCTCTGAGAAAAGAAAGAGAGTAGCTAGACGTCTGACCGGGAATGAAAGAGACACGGGACAAGGCTGACAGTGAGTGGTGCAGTGCAGTGCCGGAGTTAACCGTTTGTTAACTTGAGTTGCTGCCCTTAAAAACTATTACAGAGTCTCTTTTTCTCATCGAGAGATGGGCATAGTCGCAAATTGAGAATATCTCGATTCAAAGGAGTCGTGCGCGAGGCTATCCTTTTCGAGGTAATGCGAGGCCGCTCGTAACGCGAGCGCGAGTCCGTGCCTTGCTGTGCCTTGCGACTCGCTTGGCTACGAGTACGCGAGTTCGGCCCTGATTCCGAGGCCCTGGTCAGGAGAGGGAAACAGAGACTCCGACTCGTGCGAATACTACTCGCGCGAGCAGTCAGCCAGTCACGTACGTAACGCGGCACCATCGTGAAGTCCACGTTTTTCGTATCTTCTTTCATGAGGGGACAAGTTGGTTTCGTCAGCGACGCGTGATTGACCTGATCGACTCTCTCATTTGCAATCTAGTACCCTGCGACACGCCTCTTTTCACACGGCAAACGTGACAAACGTCGCGAATAGTGCGCCGATAGTGTGACCGCGCGCGAATTTCAGTGAATATCCTGCTCTTCCTCTCTCACACATACATACTACTCTGCTACTCCGACCTCCTGCATTAAAGCGGATGCGAAGGTACGTTCAGTTTTCAGACGAGAGAATCGCGTTACAACGCGTTTACAACTCTGAACATTGTGCGTTAGCATGTGTCCAAGAGGACTTCCGGAAGCCTTCATGATGAGCATCTCTTGGCTTCATTGTATACGTGTGTGTATCTATGTGCGTGTCTGCGAAGATTTATTTCTTTGTGTTATATAATACTATGCTAAATAAAATGCGTGACAATTAGAGGGTGGAAAGCTAGGACTTATGTGATAAAATTAAATTTTGAATATTAATTTAGAAAAAAATATCTTGGACCTGTATTATAAAAAATTAAAATGCTAATAAATGGAAAGAATGGTTTCGTTGAAATATCTAAAAATATAGCTAGATACAAATCTGAAAATAATTTTGAACTATTAAAATAATTATGTACTAAACTGATTGGTAGAATATTGAAACTTTTTGCATTATCATCATGTTTAAGCATTTTACATAATTATTTCGATGTCTTTCGAGCAAAATTATTTTTGGATTTGTTTTCTACCTAAGCAAAATTATTTTTGGATTTGATTCTACCTAAATTTTTAGAGACTTCAGTACAATCGATCTTTCCATGTAGACTTCTTAGAGATAGAAATAATAACAAAAATTAGACAAAAGATTCTTACACAAAAATTCCAAGTTTTGTATCTCAAGAATAATATCTTTAATCACTTGTAAAAGTTCTTCTATTCTATAATATTGTGAAATTGTGATTTAAACTACGATGTCCTCAATATTACATCAAGCGGAGAAAAATTTGTGCTTTTTGTGTCATATGAATGAACGATTAAATATTAATGCCTATGATCTTTTTCAATATGCAATGACGATGTTCTCCGTCATCGCGATTAGTATCTATGGACGCGCGTATTTTTAGATGCAAATGTGCTTCACTATTAACGGACCTTACTGTAAAAAATAAAGATCGGAACATATCGTCGCTAAGAGAGATGTAATTTGCATTTTTTATATCGCGACTCGATATTTAATATCATTCTTATATCGAATTCAATGATTCGCATTTCGCTTGCGTGTCGCGTCGAAGGACGATATATCATTGTCGCCTAGTGTCCTTTTGAATACCATTGATGATGCTTCACGGAAGTGACAATTCAAAGGTTCTAATTTGCATTCGCGATAGTGTAAAAAACGGTGAATTATTTTAATTAAACTTTGAGCATTCCCAACACGCGGCATCGCAAAACACTCGACCTTACATTTATCGGCAGACCAAAATCTTAAATTGAGTTTTCTGTTATCATCTTGTTAGATAAATTAGCGTTTAATATTAAATCACGACTATACCAGCGGAATATTACTTATTCTTCATAGCGTAAATCCAATGATATAATAGTAATAGTTTGAATTAGGCGTAAATCAATTTGTGACGTATTCAAATAATGCTAATGTGGCGTGAAACGCAATACAAATCAAATAGTTGCGCAGTTGGAATTAGCGGGTCTCAAGCAATTTTACACGTTATTTCTTTCACATACATATTCTTTTCAATTCGTGTAACTAAAAGAAATTTGTGAACCATAGCCATTCGAACAATTATTTTTAGTTTGAAATATTCGAATACCTACTTAAGTGCTCCTTATATTATCTGGACATTAGGATTTTAGGTAATCATAATCTAGCTTATCACATATCCAATTTATTTCGAAATAATTAGGGGATATTAGGATTTTATCTAAAAAATAGTATATAACATTTTTCATTTGGAATTGTCATAAGAGGTAATACCTCCGTTCGATTTTTTTTTCTATTTTCGTAGAATACTCTTCATGTACACCTTAATTCTCTGTCTGCAATCTAGGCTTTTTGGCACAAGCGAAATTTCACTCTCAATTCTTTGAAATAAAGAAGGACTGAATCTGGTTCGCACTCTTAAAATAATCGCACTCCTAATTGGAAAGTAATCTTGAATTTTTCCACATTTTTTAAAAGCCTAGAGGTATATAAACAAAGTTGGGCTGGACAAAGGGTGTAATAATGCGCATGGAAGATTCATATTATGATTTCAGATAATAAATAAACATCCGAATAACACATAAATTCGGATTATAGAATATTCGCTCCACATTGACGACATGAGACACTTCCA